CAATGGAAACTGAACGAAACAAGGTGACACATGCTGACGCATTTCCCCCCATTTTGACACGGTGACGAGGAACATCCGCCCCCTTGCTCCTGAGGCTTAACAAAATTACACGCCAGTGTCAGTCTATAGCACTACGGTGATGTCGAAGTTTTTGATACTATTAGCGGCCGCTAAACCGGCTGAGACTCTTTCGGTCCCAGTTTCAATGTTTAAGCTTTCAAAGGCTCGCTATGATCGTATTTTTAGTAGAACGTCAAGAAAATCAGTGCTCGAAGAAAGTAGTTAATGACACATTTCACGGAAGGAGTAGTGGCCTCATGGTTAGCGCGCTGGACTCCGGATGAAACAAACCGGGTTTCACGAGTACCCATTTGTACACCTGGGTGGAGAGACATTGCTCTACTGCATAATTGGCTCTGTTTGATCTTTTCTTTTTTTAACTTTTACAACCTAGACGAACGTTAGGATCATCTTCTCGTAAGGTCAGAACGGTTGACGCAGCCCGCCACAATTTTTGGCTCAATCCCGCCATCCCGCTTCAGTTTATTTCGATTCAGCCTGGTTGAATTCACAGTTGTCCACGGAACGTCCGTAATCTGTGATTTTCCCTTTTTCATCCCGCATCCCGCCGTCAAATTTAAAACTACCCAGCATTCCGTCTGTCAAAATGAGTAAATCTTCCGAAGTATTTTTATCCTGCAACCCGCCATTAAAATTTCTGTTATCTCTCATCCCGTCTCCATGCATTTTTACACTAATCCCACATCCCGCCAAACTGTAGCCCTCTGCTTTTGGTTACTGTTACTATGGTTACCTACCTTGCCTGCGTCATAATATGTCATATYAGCTTGCAGTTGAAAATCTTTGGGCTTAGTAACCATGGTTTCATTGTTCAGCTCGCATAGGCTGAGTTGGCCTGGGATTAGCCGGAAGTTGTAAGATTGGCATCGAGATTCTTCAAGACACGCGAACGAGCAATCGAATAAATCGGGAACCTGGGTCGAGGAGATCACGTAACCAGA